CAAGGTGCTTTTGTGATTTTCCTGAATGTTTTTGCTTGAAAGGTTTGAAGTTTGTTTAAGTGAGTCTTTTTAGCAGTTCGAAATATTTGTGATGCGTAAGTCCAAATAGGTTTTAGTAAGTAATTGTATGTGTTCAGTTTCTGTCTAAGTTTTAATTTTGAATTTTTCGAAAGAAGTGAGTTCAGAATTCTTAATCTTTGGCTTAGCGTTTTTCGTTTCTTGATTATATGTGGGCCCACGTCATTTTTTTGTCAAATGTCAGACCAAGGTAGTGAACGGTGTCTGTCTGTGGAATCTGTGTATTGTCAAGGAAAACTGGAGGGCATGTTTCATGTCGAAGCGTAAATGTGATGTGCTGTGATTTTTCTTGATTTAGTCGGATTTTCCAAATTTTGAACCAGTCATGTAATCTTGTTAAATACTGTTGTAGGGTCTGTGAGGCGTATGTTGGATTTTATTGTCTCGCTAAAATTGCTGTGTCGTCTGCATATGTCGCTGTTAAAATGTTGGGACTGCAAGGTATGTTATGGGTGTATGTGATATAGAGTAGTGGAGCGAGTACTGAATCTTGAGGTACTCCTGCTGAGATAGACCTGATGGAAGATAGTTCTGAGCCGTGTCGGACCGAGAAAAATCTATCGGAAAGGAAGGATTGTAGAATTAGATAATATGTAGGTGGGAGTATTGTCTTGAGTTTAAAAAGAAGACCCTGGTGCCAAACTCTGTCAAACGCTTGAGCAACATCCAGAAATACGCCAGTTGCATATACTTTCTGCTCTAGTGCTGTAGATATGTAGTCCGTTACTCTATGTAGTTGGTGTACAGTTGAGTGATGTGCCCTAAATCCAAATTGATGGTCAGGTATTATTTTGGTGTTTGTTAGTATATCAACAAGTCTTTTATTCAGTAAGCTTTCAAAAATTTTGGAACAGATAGGTAGTAAGCTGATTGGTCGGTATGAGGAAGGTGAGTTTTTGTCCTTATTAGGCTTTTGAATCATTATTATATATGAGTATTTCCACTGTAGTGGAAATTTAGTTGTCCTCAGAATTGCATTATAAATAGTTGTCAAAAGCACTAGAGCTTTTCTAGGCATTTGTTGGAGCACTTCAGCGTTAATCAAGTCATGTCCAGGAGCTTTTCTTTTAGGCAACTTTTTGATTTGTTCAGCAATCTGGGAAGGTGTGAATGAAATAGGAGATGAAGTTAGTTGTAAGGGCACGTCTAAAGTGTATAGTAAGTTGTTATCGTGTACAGTATTAGTGAAATCTGTGTGTGGTACAAAAACAGAAGAAAGATATTTGGCAAAGAGTTCTGATTTTTCTCCGTCTGTCACGACCCAGGAATCGTCTTCTCTTCGAAGCGGTGCTGACACTTCACGATGTTTAATAAGGTTTTTGGTATGTCTCCACAAGCTTCCATCGTTGGTTGAGAGATTTCTTATGTAGCTGTCATAGGTTGTTCGTTTGAATTTTCCAATCTGTCGCTTGAGTTCATTATTAAGTCTGTTGTAATTTCGTTTATCTGATGGGAGTCTGTCAGTCTGCCATATTTTGCGAGCTCTCCTCTTCGCTCTGATCAAGTCCCTTATGTATTGTAGGTACATTGGTAACAACTCATATTTTTGAGGTATCGCTACTGATGAAGACCATGGTGCTTCTTGAATATTTCGTGTGAAGTATTCAACGGCATCCTCAAGTTCTTCTTCGTTTTTACTGGATAGAGAAGTGTCCAATTGGTTCTTGTACCTGTCCCAATCCATTATGCCATTGATCAGGGACAGTTTTTTTGTAGCTTCACAAGGCTCTTCAAACAATACCAAATGCAAAAGGGAATGATCAGAGCAAAGATCTGAACTCGTTGTTATGGTGTGAGGTGTTGTTCGGAGTCCTTTAGTTATGAAAAAATCGAGTAAGTCTGGTGTTTTCAGTCTAGAAGTTGGCCAGTAAGTGGGTGAATTAGGTGATATTGTGTCTAATGAAAGCTCATGAAGAACATACCTAAGATTCCTTCCTCTTGGAGTAGATAGTCTGGATCCCCAGAACTGATCTTTGGCATTGTAGTCGCCTCCTGCAACAAAGCATCTACCAAGATGTTTAAAGAAATTACTAAACATCGTGGGTGTCAGGACATACCTCGGAGGGCAATAAACCGCAGCAAGAGTAATGTTTTGTTGTTGTGTTGATAGTGTAATGGCTGTAGCTTGAATCTCTGGTGTTATGGGTAATTGTAAAGGATTATGTTTTAGAGTTGTTTTGATAATTATGGCAGTGCTTCCGTGTGAAGTTCCGTCTGGGTGGTCAGTTCTGTAGATTTTGTAACCACGGATGTAAAATTTAGAATGTGGCGTCAGATGTGTTTCTGTTATTAGTGCAATGTCAATGCGTTTCTCGTGTAAGTATATGTCTAGTTCGGTTCTATGTTGGTTCAGTCCGTTTGCGTTCTATAGTATAATAGACATGGGGCCCACAGTCAGCTGATTAATGGCCATTTGGAAGACATATACCTTGAGTCACCTGCGCGAGCTGTTGGAGAAGGCTAAAAAGGGGCTGGATGAGAGTGTTGAGACCATTTAGTAACTGAAACAGTTGTGGTGAGATATATGCATCAGCTGATGTGTGCTGGGTACTTTCTCCTCTCATGGCTGCCGAAGGAGGTTGTGTGTTCTGTGTTAGTGGTTCAGGCTGTTTCTGGACTGGCGGTTGCGGCTGTGCAACCTGATGCTGATGATCAGACTTCAGCTGCTGTGCAGGAAGATGCCGCTGAGATTGCTTCTGCTTCTGCACTTGTTGATTCTGATTCTGCACAGAAGGTTGTGGAAGATTCGGGAAATCTAGAAGATTCGATGAAGGAGGTGATGCTCTCTGGTGAACTTGATTTCTCGTAGTTCTTTGTGCTCTAAAATCACGAAGAGTTTGACACCCACGATAGTTCGCCAGATGTTCGCCCTCGCAATTTGCTCATTTCGCTGGGGTCTCCCTTGTTTTATGACATGTGAAGCTTTCGTGGCCTTGTCCACATTTCACGCAACGTGGTGAATGGTTGCAGTACGACCTAGTGTGGCCGTATTTTTGGCACCTGACGCATTATGGGATAATTTTTTTCGTTCGAAGTTCTTCTATTGTTACTTTTGTGTAAAATATTTTTTTAATGTCAAAAACTTTTTCATTGAACGAAGACTTATGAATATCAATAAAGAACATTGGCAAAGGACGTTTGAATCTGGATATTGCGTTAGTAATACCTGCAACCTGGTATCCGTAACTTTCTAGGTCTCTTTTGATCTCTTCTAAAGGAGTGTTGTGGTGAAGATCTTTAATTACAACACGAGGATTCCTATCTTCAACGAGTTGATACGTGTGAAATTCGGCACCGCTGTTTCTCAGACAATTAACTAATTTTCGGTAGTCGTTTGAGGTTTCAGGGTAAATTGTCACTCCCTTAAATGTAGATCGTAATAAAAAACTGTTGGGGCCTGTATATGCTTGCAGATATGAAACTAACGCAGCGTAGTTTTCTACTCCTGTGATATAGATTGGAGGTGGTTTAGAGGTTGCGTTAGATGGTGCATTATCAGGTGGGGTTTGGCATTGATCATTAGAATCAGCAAGGGCTTGAAAACTATTACTAATAGTTACCTCTGTTTCCGTTCTTTTTTGTTTTCTCGGGTCCCGGTTTTCAACTATATTCCTTTTCCTGCCCGTTACTAGTTCCCAGGCACCTCTTTCCCTGTCCGTGCATTGAGAGTTGTCATTGCAGTCCATATAACCTGCCCCAGGCTGGGGTGGTAGGGCCGCGTTCATAGTAGCGGCTAATTTCGCCTCGCTCATTAGTGCTACTCCAAACTTAAATGATTGGTGGGCGTTGCTCGCCTGTCGTAATCTTTTTTCAGTAAGCTGTCCAAGACTTGGAGGTGGTCTAGCTTTGTCCCAAACCTGTTTTTTCCGAAGTTATTGACTCCATCCACACTTCTTTCTTGTCACACATACGATAAAACACAGATTAGAATCAATAGCACAAATCACTTGCATGAACCACTAATTCCAATGGAAATTAAACTACAAGCTAGGATATTAAAATGATGTCTATATATGATATATAGCCTTTAAGTACATAATGGGTATATTTGTAAGTAGATTGGTTCCATTGGAGGAAATTATAGGAGACAGAGCCCCTCCCGCCCTTCCCTGCGTACGTCCATGGATATAATAATCCTAGGCTCAATAATTATACTTTTTAACCTTCCTTTTAGTGACGATGAGCGGGAAGGGTGAAGCGTCTTCGAAGACGGAATACTTCTCATCACTTCTACTGGTCACTAACACGTTTTTATTTAAGTCATCGTTCAAAAATGCCTATATTTTCCAGTCACAGAACTATGACCTACTGCCTCATGGGAAGGTTGCAAAGTAGTTTGAAAGTAGAATTGATCAGTGAGCACCTCTTCGTTTAACTAGAAAGAACCAGCCAGGCTCTTGACTCTTAAAAGAGTCCACCGTTGCCTGTCCCTTAATTTATCTTGACTCATATATGAGTCCATCTTCGATAAAGGGTTAGTTTACCATAATAATCATAGTTATCTACTCCTGAAAAACGACCTACGGTCGATGCATAAATGGAGTTGAATAATCATGATATACACGGGTATAGAGCCCATTTGAAATTATGTTATAATTTAAACGTACATAAATACATCAATGTCATTGATTCTTAGTCAACCAGTTTACTGATAAAAATGCATAATGATTCATTGTTTCAGACAATGCATAATATCAACAAAGGTAGCATTTATTCGGATACAATGGATTTGTTGTCATTTCTTCGAAGCTTTCTTACAATTACAACAAACTTATTGTATTAACAATGAGTTCGTACGACAAATAATAGACAGGGTGTAATAAAATTTGTAAGTTATTCTGCTTATTTTTATAACCAAAGTGACAGACAACAAAAAATTATAATGTCTCTTTTGAAAGTTAAATGAAATGAAAATGTATTATATTTTTATCAAATCCAAAAGTAATCATACTTATAAATTATAAAACTTATAACAATTACTACAAGGTCATACAATGTGTGTTAGTCCCCTTGGCTACACTGTTTGTGGTCTTTGTCTAAGATTTCGAAAATAACCAACTCACCAGCTGATTGAAAGAATGACTTAAGTTTTTTTTTTTTTAATTTTAGTTCGTATTGTTTATCATTTTTTTGGTGATATAATGCCAGAGTCTTTTTAAGTTTCGAAGAGGGACATGGAAATTGACATTTGTGATAATAATTTTGGGATGATTCTTGAAGTCAATATCTCTAGTTGTATGTGGAAGTTCTTTGTTTGACAGGGACTCGTGGAAGAGAACAAATGATTTTAAATGTTTTAGCATTAACTTGTGATACCCTTTAAAAATGGGGAATTGCCTGAAAGGCTCCTCTGCAGATGACATTTCTTTATTGAGGGGTAGTGAGAGTGCGAATGATACTAGTTCAGACAATCTTGGTCTTCCACCTCCATACAGGGTATGTTTTTTCTTAAGTAATTGTTTTTAATAACATTATGGGTTCTCATGCTGGTGGTGTATGTATAAAGGTTTACCATTATTAAAGATTTAGTGTTATTTTTGACTTCTTATTTTATTGAGATTGAAAACTACAAGTTGTGTTCCTAATGTTCTATTTTTTATATTTGTATTAGTTTATTAATGATACCATACCCCCCTATTTGAACTGTTAAGTAATTAGATAATCAGGTTTATTTATAAATTTAGTAATAACATTTATAAATTGCATGTTTTAATATCTTTAGTGTTTTGAATTTATTGATGATAATTTCATGTATCCTCATGTTAATTTTGAACATACTAAGTTGTACCATATAAATTCACCATTGCTGTATTACTTGATTTTTTTTCTAACTTTATTGTGGTTATTTCTAGTGGAGTTACTTGGAACATTGACGGTAACTTAAACCGAAGAGTAAGAGATATATATTTGGATTGTTAATAGTAATTTTCCCATAAATTATACTATTTAAAATACTGGAAAACCAAGTAAATACGGGTATTACAAATATAAACTCTCTTTTCTTAAAGTTCCACGTTACACCTTTGGGTCCTAGTTATCCCACATCATTGTGTACTTTTACTTACTGTTCATTTATGAATATTAATATAAGGTGAAAATATTTTTGACTGATGAACTAGTTTAAGGAGAAGCGTGTTGGTTGCTGTGGTCAGTAAAGTAAAACACACTGATAAGTATAAACTTTATTTAATGTGTAATGAAATATTGGCATGTATACAAATAATTTTATATTTATCTGTTTTTCTTACCTGATCTCATCTTCCAACCAAGTTTTGAATACTAATATTGAAAATGTCCCTATTATAGAAATATCTTTCCAATATGATGGATAGGCATGAACTCGCTTGTACATGATGTTTAGGTTATATTATATAGATTTTAAGGAGGGCAGTAGTACTGTAGACTCCAGCTGAATTCCCTTCATTACATGCGGTTTATAATAAACATAATAAAGACTGTACACCCATTAATTTCTGTAATGATTCCCATCTATATCTGATTGTTACTAAAATAAATGTGGATTTATTATGCTTATATCATTTACATGTCTAAATACCTCCGTGATGTAATGTCACACTGTCTTCTGTAATATAAGATATTGTTTTTTGATAATGTTTATGGAATATTTCACTAGAATTGTTCCATAGATTAAGGGGTTTATATTCTTTAGTATATTATTATTAAGGGGTTTTCCTTAATGTACCGGAAACTGTAAGTAATAAACATAAGTTAGGTAATTTTGATGTTTATATTTATGAAGAAGAAAAAGCGTTGAGGACTATAGGTAATCAATATTCCCCCTCCTTAAAACTATGTAGCGATTTTATAACTGTAGAAAGTTGTTTTTGGATGCATTAATTGTGACAACATAACTAAAGATAGATTATTTTAAAAACAATTATTTCTCAGTAAGTAATTGTATTGTTTTACGTTGTTATATTTGACTAATTTTTTTTTTTTTCTGGGGAAAATTTATTTATTTATATGGAAAGTTTATGATGAATTGACCAACATAGCTAAATACCAAAACGTTTAGACAGCGTTGCTTGGCAACAGAATGGTGATTGTTTATAACCTTACTCCTATTCTTAGAGATTTTCTAAGGAGTGAGGATGTAGCCTGTTATGGGCACAGAAGCTTACTCAACTTTTGAAATAGAGTAAATTAATAATATTCACTAGTTCCTATTAAACTTCATTCGGTGTACAAACTTTAATTAACCTGGCAGGAATGCATTTCTTTTTTGTTTCCTAAGCGGTGTCTCATGAGCATCTAGCTCATGGTAGACGATTTGTACTATTTTAAAAGATTTTCACTATTAAAACACAATTATATTTAAAAATAAAAGTTGAGATAAAAACAATAAAATAATTAATTCTATTTCAAAAACACTTAATATTATGAGATAAAAAAAAATTTCAAGTACAAGATTTCAATTACATTACAAAATTAACGTACTGTAAAGCTGTTTAGTTACTCTATTACATGACGTGCAATGCTCATTGCAAATTGATTAAGAACAATCTATGCATGTAATTTTGGTTTTTCTGTTCATTTTGAGGCTCAAATAGCAAAAGTTTGTATTGCTTATTTCTTCCGTTTGTTACTGGCTAATTTCTTGTAATCCATAAGTTTTTCTTATTGAAAGTCTCAAATCAAAGGGTATGTTTGTTATCATGATTCGTTTGGGAAGATCTGGCTTGATACGCTGCCGTTCCAGCTGGTTTAAATATTCTCCTCTCTGTAATTTCTCCTGTGTATTAAATTACTAAATGATTTGAGAGTTGATTCATTCAATATTGAGCAATGAAAAAAAATACTTAATGGCCAACGGTTGCTTTTTCTTGCCACAGGATATAGCGACTTCAATTTGTCTCTTACATCTACACCACCTTTTGTTATATTATGGGAAGTAATAATTTCTTGCTTGTAGTTTTACCAGAAAGCTTATCAATTTTATTATCTTTGTGAAATGTTGAAAATAGTATGAATGAATGAATGAATGACTGAAGATAATTTTATTATTCTAGGACTAGTGTCACTTTAGAACAAACTATAAATACTGAATATATATTAACATTCTGGTGTGTTTTAAAATACAATTAAATATTTACAGGATGATTGCTAATAAAATAAAAGTACTGATAATGAAAAGATATAAAAACGTACATAAATATAAAATAAATAAACCAAATATCAATAAATGACAAAATAATCAAAGTATCTGAGGGTACTTCGAGATTCTTACAACTTAGATTTTTAAGTGCATTTCATGATCAACTGGATTGGGAATGTAGTAGGTGTTTGAAGAGGAGAGATTTGAAAGAGGATACTGATTTTGTGTGTCGAATATCAGAGGGGATAGAATTCTAGAGGGAGGCAGCTTGAATTAAAAAGGATTTGTTAAACACAGCAGTTTGGTGAGGAGGAGGATAGAGGTTGGACGCACAGGATCTGGTGGGACGGGATTGAAAGGAGCATTTGAATTGTAAGATCTGTAGAATATAGGAGGGTCATCGAGTTCTAATAGCGTGATATAGGAAGGTAGCAAGGAAATACTGACGGCGGTAGGATGGATAAAGCTACTTCAGCTCAGTGGAAAACTGGGTAATATGCGTATCCCTTGAGATCCCGAAGGTAAAGCCTATTGAGCAATTCATTAGACGTTTAAGTTTAGCTTCGAGTTCTCCTGAGAGACCACCATACACCTTACAGCCGTAGTCGAAGTGGGGGAAAACAAGAAATGAAACCAGGAGTTGACGAGTTTTGAATGGAAGAAAATAACGTAGATGGTTTAACTGTTTCAGGGTGGAAATAGTATGGCGGGAAATTTGGGAGATGTGTGGTTTCCAGGAGAGGGTTTGATCGAGGGCATCGCCAAGGTTTGTAACGGTAGTATGGAAGGAGATTGGTAAGTTGTTCAGGAGAAGATTGGGAGATACTGAAATGGATTCGAGAAGTGAGGGGATCCGATCAGTATGGCTTTTATCTTCTCTGTATTTAATGCGAGCTTATTAAGGTTTGCCCATGCGCGTATTCTATTGATGTCTGGTTTGCAGTTTCAGGATGGCATTGGAGAGATCAGCCGGGTTGAAGGAAAGGTAAATTTGGATGTCGTTGGCATATAGGTGGTATTGACTGCATGATAGAGGAAGGGAGGTCATTGATATAGATCGAAATGAGGGTGGGAGATAAAGAGGAACCTTGTGGGGCGACTCTGGACAAGGGTAGAGACACTGATGGAGAGTTATTAGGAAGTACAACATACTGGGAGCGACTGGTTGTAGGAGCATATTATGGTCAACTGAGTCAAGTGCTTTAGAGAAATCAAAAAGGATTAGGCTGGTGAGTTTGTGTTGGTCTATGGCTGTGTGGAGATCTTGGGAGATTTTAATGAGAGCGGAATGAGTAGAATAGTCAGGACTGGAAGCAGTTCCAAAGGTTATTTTGTTTGAGATAGTGGGATAGTTGGGATTGTGTACTATTCGTTCTAAAGGTTTGGAAAGGTTATATAACAGGGAAGTTGGACAGAAATCATTAAGGGTTGCGGGACAAGAAGTTTTGTTCAGTGGAGGAACAAGAGCAGTTTTCCAGGTACTGGGAAAAGTGGAACTTAGTAGTGAAAATCGTAGATATGATAAAAGATTGGAAAAATGGATTGAAGGAAGGATTTAATTAATTTAACTGGGATATTGTCTGGTCCGAAATCATTGGTTTGGGATTTACGAATGGATTTAACGAGGTATTCTGGGGCATCTTGTTAGCCATAAATATTCTTTTCTTGTCCTCGACCTCGGGTGCATTGTCTTGTGTTACCAGTGACCCCAAATACTTCAACCGCGCTACTTTCTCAAAGTTAAAGGGGCCAATGTTGGTATTGATGGTCTGGCCTGGTCGAGGGATTTCTTCTGTGGCCATATATTTAGTTTTGCCTTCATTCACTTCTAACCCAAGTGCTTCCAACAAAGCTAAAAATCCCTCTCTTACAGACTGCAATGACCGCTCCACGATGTCCATATCATCCGCATAGGCTAATAGCTGAACCATCCGGTTGTAAATTGTCCCATTAGTTTGCACACCAGAATCCCTCACTGCCTTCTTAAGTGCCAAGTTAAACAGAAGACATGCTAACGCATCACCTTGGTGAAGTCCTTTTGTTGAGGAGAACTCTTCTGTCCTTTGACCACCAACCTGCACAGTATACTTTACATCTCACATGGTCAGCTTAACCACTCGTATTAGCTTATCTGGGATATTTAAACCTTCAAGAGCCTTGTACAGTTCTTCCCGGTTAATGCTATCGTAAGCTGCCTTAAAGTCAACGAAAATATGGTGGGTTTTAATCTGATGTTCGTTTCCTCTCTCTAGAATTGTTCTGAGGTAGAATATTTGGTTTGTCGTGGATCGTCCTTGTCTAAATCCACATTGGTAGGGAC